CGGCCTTCGTACAAGCCGTGAAGCAATGATACTCGTACTACATGTTTGTTGGGTGGTTTCCTTGCTGGGATCCAAACACAAACACAAAACAGAGTGCAGTTTCAGATGCCTTGCGGGTGTACTTTTCTTGTGATTGTTTAAGCAGGAATGGCACCTAATTAAGGCCTTGTCATCTCCTTAGGTAGAGTATGCCATGAAGTGACATGGAACTTGCTCATGCTTACCTAGCTACGTGGCTGATGCCTCCTATACGAAGTAAAGTAATGGGTAACTAATTGAATAGTCTAATACTAGTGTTGAACTTGGTTGTGTGCATCATGATGATGCAGAAGCCGGGGTGTTTCCCTTTTCAAAAAATATATACTAGTGCTGAACTGCTGACCACACGTCTAGTAGATGCACTTAATTTCACAATTGACAGCGCCATTCTGAAACTCAATCAGTAACTCCTACCTGTTCAAAAAAAAAATTCAATAACTCCCATGTCTACATGCGGTTACTCTTTTCAGTTCAGTTCAACGCAGAACTTGCAAGCCACCCACGCAGGTCTTGCACATTTGTACAGTTGATAGTGATGTTCCTGCGATCTACAGTACTACCCTGAACGGTTGAGCGAGCCTTCCAGTGAGCGATGATGGGGCAGGAAGGGCCAGGAAAGTGCAGGGAGTATTCAGTTAGACTAATCAGCAGCTGCAGCTGAGCAAATACCTAGTACTCCCTTCGTCCGAGAAAAGTTGTCCTCTACTTAATTCATTTACAATTTTGCAGAAAACCCCTTCTAGCTTTAAATCTGTTGCTAATCAGACCCCGCTGCTTCTTCCTCCTTTCTCCGTCGCCGGCGCGCACCGTGGTCGCCCGCGCCACCGTCGGCACCCACCATAGGGCCGAGCGGCTGACGACGGCCATGGCCTGCACCACCGCTGTGAACCACCGACGCCCCTGCCCACCTGCGCCGCCCGAGGCGAGTTGCGCCGCCCGCACGGAGGCGAGCTGCACCCACGGCCGCACCCACGAGATGCTGAGTTGACGGAGGATTGTCTGATGTTGGTGCCGTGAAGGAGAGCAAGGCAAGCATCGAAGCTCAAGAGCTTGTTGTACAGCTCCTGAACCCAGACCGGCTCAACCCTAGCAGCCAGGGCGGACACGACTGGATTGTAATCCAGATCGAGACCATCCATGATCTTGGAGATGATCTCGGGATCAGGAAGAGGGACTCCGGTGCAGCATGCGACTTCATTTTTCAGAGTTTTAATTTTGCCAAGATATTCTGCCATGGACATGTTACCTTTCTTCATATTTGTGAGCTCTATGCGGGTGTTGATGGCCTGACTTTGGCTCTAGGCGGCGAACATGGCGTTGATGGCGCTCCATACTTCTGCCGGCGTCTGGAGTGTGGCAACTTGGGCAAGAATATCATGAGAGAAAGAACCCATCAGATACCCCTGAAGTTGTTGCTGCTGTGCGTACCAGAGGGTTCGGGCGAAGTTGGTGACTTGTTCTTCTTTGCCATCTTTGGTGATGGTGAGGGTGGCCGGTGGTTTCGGACTCGTCCCATCGAGGTGGTTGTTCCATCTGTGCGCCTCTGATCTGCGGGAGCACGACGGCCTTCCATAGAAGGAAGTTTCCCCTCGTTAGCTTCTCCTGAGGTGGTGGTCCGAGAGGTACAGAGCTGCTGCTGGATGATGAAGCGGAGGTGGAGGACGTAGCGGTGGAGAGCGCGCTCATGGTGGATGATAGGGCTGTGGAGGAAGACATGATCTCGGCCGCAGGAAGGTAGCTAGATGCGATCTTCGATCTAAGAGGAAGATGCTCTGATTACCATGTAAATTAGGTTGGAAGCATTGAACCCTTTGGTCTCGGGCCGCGTGTTTATATATTGGCAATGCCTTGGAGTACAAGAGGAGATCAGAGATCGATCTCAAGGAGTTCGGTACAAGGAGGCAACGAGAGGGAGAAAGAAAAGGAGGTAGAGATAGAATACAATTTGAATGAAATATATCTCTATACTATACATATTCTAACAAGTACGGCTCACAAAAGGAGTGAAATAAAACAAGAACAACTCAAAGACACAACCGGCCGGACGAAAGGATACTAAGGACCTATCCTATTATGTGATCGCCATCCAAACCGGTTGAATATAGCCCGTGTTACCATCTCCCACCGGTTGCACCCGGTAGCCAGCTGCTCCCTGGAACCCGTAGGAGTGAGTAACGACCACGTACTGTTCCACGCCGTAGCCCTGAAGATAACCTGCAAGAAGTTAATAATAGATAGTCTATTAAAAATCATATCATTCCTGCAGTTCCATATAGCCCAAAGAAGTGTGCATATTCCAATCCGAATACTTGACGCAGTATGAGGAAGCACTCCATTTAGCCACGTCCCAAACAACGCGTCAATGCTAACACGAGGAATAATATTAAAGGCTATATGGACAGACCTCCAAAGTAACTTCGCGAGTGGGCAATCAAGAAATAGGTGTTGGATTGTTTCATCGTGAACACAAACGCAACATCGTGAACTGCCTACCCATCGCCGCTTTATTAAGTTATCTTTGGTAAGGATCACTTGCTTGTGAACAAACCACATAATTTTTTTAACATACTGCTCTTACTTCAGCGGGATTTCTTTACTATACTATGTGGCATACTGGCACAAATGGAAGAAGTGTCTGAACTGCAACCACTCCCTGATGCACATTTCCCTGCTATGAAATTTAAGCTCCACGGAATATCAATTAACCTTATTTATGCCAATGTTTCTCTTGCAGTAGTGCCATCAGTAAGTTTGTAATAAGTTTACATGCACTTGTTTGCTTTCCTATACATACCTTAAGCTCTTATTTATGTGTGTCATGGTATATGTGATGTTTTAACTTTTCTCCATTAAGCATATTTTAGTAAGAAAATATGGAAGCAATTTTGTTCTAGCACCTACTATCTTAATTTAAACATAGCTATGCCTTACTGTCTGTTATATGTGTATTTATCCATGTTATGAGCTAGACTGCTAATGTTGTAGCTTAGCTAGCTACGTAGGGTAGTTGTATCTGGCCATCCATTGTATGATGTGATGTACTTCCTCCTTCCCAAAATGTAAGTTTGCTTGACTTTGCATGGTCTTTGATGCACAACTTTGACGATCAATATATACCAAAGTGCATGGATAACATGTATAAATGATATTGTCATATTTATCTTGGAAAACAGTTTTATGTCATATGTCTTTATAGTAATTTTATAGATCATAGTCAAAGTTGTGTAATGAAGACCAAAAGAAGTCAAGCAAGCCTTATATTTTGGGGTAGAGGGAGTATTAGATGGGGGTGCTTATCAGTTATCACTGTCCTGGTTTTCTGACTTAGTTTCTAATTTGGAAGATGTGATAGGCAAGTTCTTCATATGCCTCACTGTTCCAAATATTGAAGCTGGAGTTTTGTTTGGTGCCCCAAAAATTTCTTTATTTCTTCTCCTAGGATGGCAATATTATGATATGCATACATTGCTGTAGAATTTCCCAATCGCATGCCTGTTTTTGGTGTAGGTCAGTTGTTGCAGCATTGATAGTATCTTGGATGACAATCTAACTTTCTTGCCATTTAACATTTAGCAGTGAAACACTTGAATCTCCATTCATCATGATTTATGAATTTCATGTTTTTTGGCAGAATCATCACATTTAGTTGTGGCCATTGGCTATATATGGATACCTTCTGATGTTTTGTGCTAGGGAGATGCGTATAACAGAATGCTCATTCCTTATCTTCGTTAATATTTGGATACACATATTTAACTGGCAGTTCTTCTCTAACACAGTCTTGGGGTATTTACAGCCATCAGTGCAACACTTCCCCTGAGGCCCTCAGTCTTAGTTGCTTGTGCCATTCTGTCTTAAATAATGAAAGAAAATTATTTATCTTGAAGTCCACTTCCTGCCCCTTGCCCTGTTTTACGTCGAATATCTCAAGCGATAAATTTTGCTCTTAATGTAATGCTGCAGGATCTGGATATATCACAAAATTCAGTGCTTTCTGGCGTTGATGAAGTAAATCTCCTCAGTCTGAGCGAGTGCAGAGTGGCAGACCAAATTCTTGATCTTGTTCCAAATATTGAGGCTGGCTCTTGTTTTCCACTCCATTCCCCCCCTTTATTTCTTCTTCAAAGATGGCACCATAATGATATACACGCACTTGACTGTAGAACTTCCGAACAACTTTAAGGTGTGTAAAGTACTGGGCAAAAATTAGAGGCGTTTGCTCCAATGTAAGTCAGGTTTCATCAACATGTTGGCCGCGTTTCATAGATACTTGCAAACCATTAATAAAATTTAGGATTCCTGTGTCAACCATTAATAAAATTTAGGACACTGGCGAAGATGAATGAGTACTAAACAAGACCATGCCGCGTTTCCCCATTCACTCTGAGCATGGTTTGCAAAACAATTGGCCGCGTTTCCCCATTCATCTTCGCCAGTGTCCTACTATCACTACCAGATTATCATAAGGCGATATTTGTCGCAATTCCCTCATAAGCGGACATTCAGCTAGTGATAACAAATTCGTAGTACATGTCATGTGGTTACCTACTTTTACAGAGTAAAAGGTATTGTCATGGTCAGAATCCAACAATTCTTGAGGCTTGAACATTTTTCCCTTGCTAGTTGATACTTGAAGACCTAACAATGATCAAAATGGTTCAGAGAAAAAGGTGCAATAAAAAGTAGAAAACTGATCTTCTTGATTAACAAATTTGCACTGGCATTTATAAATCACTAAAATAGCAAGTTCAAATATGTGGTGCATCAGAATATACAAAGCAACGAATTTGCACACTTGTTAGGGACTATTAACTCAAGAACTAGAATTTGATTTATGATTCATGTATTTCTATATTGAAAAGAATTCCAAATAGACAGGCGCTCCATGACATGAGTCATAATAACTGAGTGGAAAACAAAACATAAGTAGGAGCTGATAATCATGAGATGAATTTGGCCTTTTACATCCAAAATGCCACGGGATCTTCAGCGAGGAACAACTTAGAGGTTGCTTCAGGCACTTCGTAGTATTGCACCTGCCGGCTCTTGCGAGTCATCAGGTCTCCATTCATTCCATGCGTGAGGAAGAATGTGGCGACACGATAGAAACAGCGACCAGGTAGGCGCACATCTCCCTCCTCAATGAGGGCCTGATCAGCAACGGAGACGCACTCTACGAGGCAGAATTCACCCTCACATCGCATGTCGACGAGGGTAGCACTTACATGCCTCTCAGCCGGCTTGTCGCTGAACAGCTTCTCATCGCAGACCCTCGCCACAGGGGCAGGGCACTGCCCATCACCGGCATCAAAGCTCGGCACGTCGCAGGAGCAGATTTGGCCGAGGGTGTCCGGGTCTTTGGTGAGCCCAACAAAGGCCTTGAGGTGTGGGACGAAGTGGCCGCGGCCGGCAAAGGGCAGCGCCCAATTGCCAAGCAGTTTCCACGATAGCGCCTTCGTGTCGAAGGAGAAGGTGGCCGCGGCGGCATCCGCCTTGGTGCTGACGAGGAAGGTGAGCTTGACAGCGTGCGAGGTGTAGGAGGCGACGTCATCAACCTTGAATGGCTGCCTGGGGAGCTGTTCCCACGACCACTGGAGGCTGCGATCCATGCTGCAATACGAAGCTGAAGGGTAGATGCAAGGTTTTGGTTACCGAATGAGGTAATTTTACCGAGGGGGACTGATAAATGTGGTTACCACGGTTACCGAGAAATACCGACAAATACCGAGAATATTTCGAGCGAATTTTATAGTTGAATTTTGAATTCAAATAAGAAAATGAACGAATATTCAAACCAGAGACCTCTCAAAACAGGAACTAGGTTGCTACCAACATGCCATAACCAACTTTCATTGCATTAATTAGACCCTACATACCTTACTGTAAATCGAGTGTTTAAATTCAAAAATTTCAAAAAAATGGTATTTTTTGCTCGGTATGACGATTTACCGAGGGGCACGGAAATACGTGGTAACCATGGGAAATCTTGAAATTTCGACTGGTAACCAAAACCTTGGGTAGATGATATGCCCCAGGCAGAGCATCTCAAAGGACGCCGTGCTAAGAGAGAACAGCTTCTTGCCGACGGGGAGGTAGATGGGGGCATCAATCATCCACGGGTGGTCGCCTTGCTGCTTCCAAGGGCCGAAGGTGATCCCCCGCGACCGGACGCCGAACATGGGGAAGTAGCTCTCCGACGAGCCGTCACCCAGGTCCACGGAATCTTCGGGCGGATGCATCGCCAAGATCCTCGAGCCGAAGGCCGAGACGAAGTACTTGGGGGCAGAACGCGGCGCCACCATGCGGACCAAAGGCGGAGGCAAGCGCTGCCGCACGGGCCGGACCGGGGCTTCGGACCTGGCCTTTTCTTCTTGGCCGGAGACGGCCGCCGGCTGCTGATGACGGCCATAGCTCCGCGACAGGCTTACCTTCCGGGTGCTGTATCCACGGGACCAGTCGTCGAAGACAAGGTAGAGATGATGCCGTCGCGGTGGCTTTGCCTTTGCCGACGGCTGTCCAGCGGCGGAAGACATCGCGTCTCAGGGTCAGGGCTTGGCGATTGATCGTGTTGGGACTGGGAGCCTGCGGCGGTGGCGGCGGCTGCAGCTGTAGAGGATGTGGCGCAGTGATTGATTCGTTCGTGTGGAGGCATCGTCCTGGTGCTACTCGTGGGCCTTGCCCTCCCCTGGGCTGTAGGCCTGTAGCCTAGCTCTTTCATTATTATTTTTTTCTAATTGTAACTTTTGTGTTGTTTTAATGTTTTTTTTTAGCACCAGTACAGACCACTGTTTCAAATAGCCCGCTATAGCTCCGCTATAGCACGCTATAGCATTTACAAAAGGTCTTGCGCTAAGAGACTTTGGTCCAAACAAATGAACAAACATTTTAAATAGCGCGCTATAGCTCCGCTATAGCACGCTATAGCATTTGAAAGAGGTCCGGCGCTAAGATGCTTAGCGCGCTATTTAAAACTTTGGTACAGACACAAACGCTCATATACACGCGCATACACTCATCCCTATGAACGCACACACGCACACCCTACCCCTATGAGCACCTCCGAAAGACTGAGCCGGCATATCATCTTGAGATTTACGAAGCTACCGTAGGCGCCTCGTCGTCGACGGGAACGTCTCCTCCCACTGAAAGCACATCGCCGGAAATCCTAAAATAAATGCAGGAATAATGCGAGCACCAGGATTTGTACCCTGGTGGGTTGGGGATTCCACTGTCCACCTAACCATCTCAACCACAGGTTGGTTCACGTGTTGTTTTAATGCTACTAGTAATAATGTACGTGCAATGCACGTTTATATTAGGTAGGATATTAGTTGCACGTTATATTAGGTAAGATATATCTGTTGCACGTTGGTATTTGGTAAGATATCAAATACTTTTTTCGCGGAAATGATAGGATATTAATTACATGACAGATTTCATGGGATAGCGTTGAGTCAAAATGTGTTTATAACCGATGACAGTGGTGGGTAATTAGAGCGTTAAACGTATTTGGTGCTCAACATTGAAGTGGTTTGGATCTGCTCTTTTGGGTCTTTTTATATTGGTATAGATATATAATTGTACGGCTAATTAAACTAGGATTGCAAACGAGTCAAACTCCAGGGAGTTGGACTGGACTCAGCTCAACTTGTATCAAATTTGAGCAAGCTCAAACTGAGCGAAGCTCATGGTTTAGTTGTAGAGAGCGGTTTGTGCTCACCTTATAACGATTTTGTGCGGATCTCAAACTAGTTTTGAGCTAAATAACATGATATTATTTAAATAACCTAAGGCTTGTTTTTTAACAAGATAGGACACAACACAACATAACAAACCACTATCAAATATTATTCCAATCAAAACGATGGTAGTATAAAAAAATCAGGGTAGTTGGACTAGAACTTAATAGTAAGAGATGGTGGATGAACTAGCAAGAGAAGAAATAAAGGGGCGCCAGCTCTCAAACTTTGGCAAAAAATAACAGGATATTTAACACACGATTGACCATGCAACATATTGAGGCCTAAATTTTCTTTGTGCTTAATTAAGATTTCATATTTCTAGTAGTTAAAATGAAGAAAAATCATACACAACATATATGGTAATAAATTGTCCTATAATATGTATCATGATTATTTAATATTACCTCTTTATACAAATATAAGACGTTTTTGTGGGCTAAAACATTTTATATTTTTGTACGTAGGGCGTTTTGGTGGACGAGCTCTATGGACGGTCTTTTTTCCAAAAAATAAAAAAATCACGTTTTGAAGTTTCAAAAAATTCTGGAAAAAATCATACAAATTTATATGGATGTGTTTTACATTATGGTCAGAGCTTTAAAAGACAAATTCGTGAAGTTCTAATAATGAACAGTGCACATATTGTTCATCATTTTCAAAATCATTGTCTTGCCTTTTTTTTCTATAGCTCTCACTGCAAATTATACCTTCTTCAAATTTTACACATATGTAGTGTGATTTTTTTAGAATATTTGGAAACATGAAAAATATGTTTTTCAAAAATTTCAAAATAAAGGGCTTCATGGAGCTCGTCCTCCATTTAGCATTATCTGGTGGTATAACTATATTATAATGAGCTAAAATCATGCGAGGCAGTGTTGACTCAAGATCAACTGGTTTCTTGATCGAGCTACATAAAATGTTCATGCTCAGCTTATTTATTTTCTGAGTCGATCTTGAACTGAGCTAAAAGATGAGTCCACCTTGAGAGACTCATGAGCCTCAAACTTTTGTTGTACCCTAAATTGAACCACTCGATCAACTTCTAAACTCTTCATATACTTAAAGCAAGCAAATCAAAATCAATAACAATCGACCCGGTACGCCGATGTGCGGTTGTTAACCCACACCACACGTAGGACAGTCGCCGGCGGGATACCGTTAACGAAGTTATAGCTGCTGGGGCTGCCCCAACACTACCCGGAGCTCCGCCGACGGTGACACCACAGAGCTCGCCGCTCCTTCAATGGCCACGTAGGAGGTGATCCCGACGGCGGCCGCGGCGAGCGAGAAGAACGAGGCGCCGGCGAACACCCCGGCCACGAGGACGGTGCACTGGTAGCAGTGGCGTAGCCAGCCCAATAAATCAGGATGGTCCATCAATAGAAATATTTACATACGTTTATTTATTTTCAAAGAAATATTTTTTTACTACACTATATACAAGCTATGGGGAAATTCCAGGGTGGTCCATGGACCACCCTGGCCACCCCCTAGCTACGCCACTGACTGGTAGTAAGAGGCGACGCCCTCCTTTGGTCGCCGCTCCGCGCTATCGTTCCTGAGAGCTCCGGCGAGGAAGGCGCACGTCGACAGGATCGTGAGAAACCTGCATGCAGCGCGCTTGACCTTTTTCAGTACAGATAAGGCCATTGAAATCTTCGTTCGTGGAACGGTGCAGGCCGTACCATGAGAGTATCGAAGCGATGTAGTCACCGACGCGCCGATGATCGGACGACGAGCGCCTCTGCCGGCATCCGTCCCAGCAGCCGGTGGCCACCGTGAGGATGGCCTGGCTGATGAGCAGCGACGCGGCCGCCGCGATCCCGCAGTCGAACGCCGGCGTCCTCCGGTAGACGCAGTTCACCCCGTTGTACCTGACAAAGGACCTGGATTTGGTTGCCTCGCCGATGATCCCCAGCACGGCTGCTGCGAGAGCCAGGGCGCTCACGGCGGCGCATATCACAACCACGTGTTTCTCCACCATGCCGGCAGAGGTCTCATCGATCTTATCTGTAGGATCGAGACAAGAATTGCCAATTATATGTAGTAGTAGTGTCTACCACGTTCTGCCTTGTTGCTAGCATGGTTTGATTCCATCCATGCCTTGTCTTGGTATAAACGTACATCACCTTGAGGAAATCGTCTATACTTTATTAGCTATATAGGTACGGTGGTATGAACCCCTGTTTTACAGAGGCATTTGCATTGTTTTCGATGAAAAATAAAGGAGGCAAGTGCACTCAGTTGGGCAGGTTCTTTGTGATTCTATCCACCCCGGTTTCAAAGTTTATGTCTTTGTAGCCCTTGGCTTTCTGACGTGCACTTTGCATACATGCATGCTTCGGCTCAATGAATAAAATGTGGGAGAGCAGAGTTATAAAAAAAAGTCCAAGACTTTGTATGGTGCTTGTATTTTTTGATTTACTAGCACATATGCCCGTGCGTTGCAACGGGAGTAAAATTAACGTGTTCATGCATGATAGCATCCCGAAGGTATCACACGGCAGGAGACGCACACCAAACTCTAAAAGAAATGCATATCAGTCAGCCATTAATCATGCAACAACCCTTAACACGGGTACTAAGGTCAATTAATTCTCCTTATAATTCTACCATCTACACTTAGTTAGCTTTACACCTCCACACATCCAACTTGTAGCACACTGATTGACCTCACTACAACATTCGTCCGACTTGTAGCAGTGGCGGTCATCCTTGTTGTGTCCATGTGGTCGGCTTTGCTAGGTTGTCCGTATGACTTGTTGTCTTGGCATCATTTATGTAACTGGTTTTGCGGCACGGCGGTCCAACTTCCTAATAGAAAAATAATAGTAGCGACTGATGTTACCACCAGGACCCAAATGTCCATATTCTCTTGCTGGATTGTAGGATCACCAAGATCCATGGTGACAAGCATACTCTCATCAAAACCATACATCTTGCCAAGTGCTTCCTAATTTTTGCAATCAAAATGGGTTACACTCTCAGCATTGTACAACTTTATTTGAAAATCCACACCATGATGGGTCCTTAAGAGAATTGTTTTGGTTTCCATACTTTCATGGTCTTCAAAACCCATCCTCTCCAAGACGTAGCGTCTTGCATAACATGGGATAAGCTAGTCGAATTGGAAAAGATAAAAAATACATGTTAAAATAGTTGAAGTCGTGCTTAATTACGAAAAAAACTATTGTCGTCGTTGTGTACCGTATGAACATCGAAGGTCTCCTCGAGCTTAATGCTGAAGCGACGATCTTCGTCCAGCTCAATGAACCTGTCGCACATACCTCGGTCGTCGTGGCACCAGTCGCACTCCCCCGGGCGGTTTTCGTCGTCCAAGTACGACATTTCCGTCCTAAGT